CTATGCACACTCACCCCATCCTGTCCGTGTGGGGGGGCGGGGGAGGGGGGCAGGGCGACCACAGGCCCACCGCAGGGGGCATTTACTACAACAGCAAACGCTGATGATGCTTTTAGTCCCTTTCACACTTCAACTCACACACACCACAAACACACGTACACACACACACACACACACACACCTGTTCAACATACACCACAGCACACTGCAGTACAGGCAGCACTTCACAGGCAGCCAACCCAACACATGATTTATATACAGAGAGCTGAAGCCAACATAGCTGAGTGGCAGGCAGGCAAGTTTGCGTGAGAGTGAGGAAGGCAGGACCAGAGACGAGGGTGTTTTTTGGGGTGTACAGTGCGGACCTTAAGGCGCCCCCTTTCTCTGACTACGCGCAGTGCAGTCACGGCTTGTCTGAGGGAGGCTGATGAGCTTACGGCATTGATTATTAATTTAATAAATGGAGTGGGCCGGAGCTGTTATAGGGTGGGGAAAGTCAGGGGTGGGGTTTGTGTGGAGACTTTTTCTTTTTCCTTTTGAAAAGGGGGAGTGGGTTTGAACAAATGTTTTGCTTTTTTTTATTTTTATTTTTAACCCATGAGTCTGTAATTAGAAAAAAAATAAAAAAATAAAGACATTGTGTAAAAATGAGACTGTGTCTGTGTGAGTTTGTTCTTCCCTGACCTCTTGTCTGGTTACGTTTAATAGTATCTACATGTGGTTTCCTAATGAGTAACATTAGGTGGTTGGAGTATAAGTAGTTACTGAAAATTATATTGATTATCATAAAGGAATTACTGATAGCCACGCCCAGTATGAAGACCCTGAAACCCAAACAGCAAAATGGAATTAATTTTCTTTTTTCTTTGATTAAAGTATTTATAGGAATGCATGAACAAACAGGATAAAAGGCAGGGTTAATGTTTGCACCGTGCTGTGTGTAACCTAGTGACACACATACTGCTGCACCAGCACCTCTGCTGCATATAATGTCCTCTTATCACCGGGGGCTAAGCAGGAACAAAGCAATCTGCACATTCACTCAGAATTAGAGTTTTTGTCCTAATCGATAGTCATGTCTGACGAGGTAATGTCACTGCCCTCTAATGGACATAAATACAACAACACCCAAATACAAGAGTCAACAGTAAATGTTTATTCTACAAACAATGAAAAGGTTGTACACTCTGCAGAGAGGGTGGGGAAGTTATCGCTGGCTTATTGGTAATAACATCGCCTGACTGAAATCCTCTTCATGTCATCATTTGGTCTCCTGACATCAGTGGACATCATGTTCCAGGTCTATCTGTGCTTCTTAAAAGCTGTGGAGAACGACATGGTTAAATATTACACAGGAAACGATGAAATGAAAATAAAAGCACTAATACGTGGTTGTTTCTTTTCCATTTCTCAACATTGTACAGTTGTGGAGAGGTCCTCTTAATCCACATTAATAGCACAATAGTTTTTTTTCTTAAATCACACTGAACACCTGAATCCTTTATAAACATTTGATTCTAAAATAAGAGAAACTGACAATTATGAGTTAAGACAATTTAAGTTAATCAACCCATAATTTGTTTTTGTCTGGTATTTTTTTTTTATTTCGGAAAAACATCGCGTATGTTTGAATGTGCTCACCTCTTCTTTTGGTTTTCTTCTTCATGATTTTCTTCTTTTTCTTGGGGCGAGGGTTATCTCCATCCTGCACCAATAGAGACAACGTGTTAGAACCAGCAGCCACATTAAGAAAAGAATGTGATCTAAATAAAAACAGGCCACAATGCCCTCATTCATCCTGGACGGAGATGAGCCTGTTAAGCGAGATTCTTCTGAGGCTTCTTATGTTCAGTAGAAAATCTAAACATAGCACATGGATTTTCCAAGTCCTCTTAAATACATTTAGCTGAATGAATTTTCCACATCTGCAGGCGGTGGAACAGACTATCAGCGTGAGGTTGGCTACTCATTACTCTTACTCATTAGTACTTTTTATGACGGCAGACAGTGAACTGAGACAGGAAACAGTCCAGAGAGGATGGACATGCCAAACCTGCGTAGGCACACTGTAACCAGTGTAACCGGTGCGAGCTCTGCCAGCAACGCACCAGACAGCTGAGTCACCGAGATACACAAATGTATGACTTCTTCAAAAACACATGGATGTGTTTAGTCCTATGTTAATTATGCTGCATTATAGTAGATATGAATAATACGTCCAGTCCAGACTCAGTCCAGGTCAGTCTGTGTACTGCTTGATTAGAGCCTGAAATTCCTGCCCTATCTGAGCCAAACTGTTCTGGACCAAAAACTGCCATTTTCTACCAACAACAGTGTTTAACCTAGCCCAGTGAGTGAAATGTGTTCCCTTGTTGGTGTAAATATGTCACTGCGGTGCTCACCTGCCCGCCCTCGCCGCCCGTCAGTGCTGAGATATCACTGAAGTGTGTGATGCCGTTCAGCTGGCCGGACATGGACATCATGCCTCTCTTTTTGGTGTTCTGGCGTTTGGGCATGTTGAGACGCACCATCATTGACTCCTCATAATGTTTCCTGTGAAGTAGAAAACATAATAAAAAGTTATTTTCGATAGAAATGGAGATTCGTAAAAGTGCTCCCAGATAGAATGTTAGTAATAACACATATAATGATAAATATAATCCCACTGTCTTGCTCTACAACCGATCTTTGTCTGCCTGCTGAAATAGAGCGAAGGAGTAAACACCTGTGGAGTTCCTCGCGGCTGTCCTTCTCACTCTGGAAATCTCTTCTGTCCCGGATCTCCTCTGGTGCGTCGCTGTACTGCTGTCTCAACTCCTGGATCACAGAGCTTCTGAGGGCAGCCCGCCGCTGGCGCTCTGCCTGGGCCTTCTTCCTGTCTGCTTCTGTCATGTCACCGTCTGGAGGAAACAGGTTGAGATGAGAATTTGTGAGGGGGGGGGGGGGTGTCTTTATTTTGATACACGTGAACATGGGAAAATAGCACGGATAAATGCTTTCTAAATGAATTCTAACAAAAGAAGCAGAGTGTTGTGCTTCACTCCAAATGTTATTAACTTTCCACCCTCTTTAATCAAATGACTAAAGGGAGATTTTTTTTTTTGACAAGCAGACAAAGAAATAAATTACATTACCATAATGCACTGCGGCAATCTTTGGCGGTACATATTTCCTGCCACTAGAGTGGGCTGCTTTCTTCTCGGCCTTATTCTCAGCTTCACCTTCAGACTCCTCTGATTCACTCAACTGGTTGATGAAGCAAATAAGGAAAGTCAGTCGGACACTTATAAGACTACATGTTCTTTTTTTATACTTAATCAGTAAAGTTCATTTATGATAAAGTCTGCCACCCAAATAAAATAAATCTGATGTAAAATGACCACGATATTCGGCTCTTACTTTGCTGATAAGATTCTCAGGATTCGGACGCAGCTGCAGTGGGTCGTTTTCAGCTGAAATGTAAAAGAAACAAACATTTTTATATACTGAAATATTTAATTAAATATGGAAGATAGGAAATCTTTGGTGGATCCATGCTTGGCAACTAACATGAAATCAGTCTTACCTAAACTGCCAGTGACGGCTGTGCGCACCAATTTATCGATCTGGTACTTCAGTTTGTGGTCTAGCGGTCGCATCTTCTCCATGACCTTAAAAAACGGGATGGAAAAGCGATAAGATGCTGTGTCAGATACGAATGAACAGCTTTACTATTAGCGCTCTGTTTCTACAATCAGCTCACCGTTCTTATGGTGACCACTCTGTTCAAGGCTTCACTGTCTTTTATTTTGCCTCCTTCTGTTTTGACGCTGATCAGGTGAGTGAGGTCCTGAAGGTAGAAGAGCAGCAGGTGATACCGAAGGTCCAGGAAAGACAAACCCTGCAGTGAGAGAAGACGGGCAGAGAGTCAGGGAAGGCGGTCTATCTGGTCCAGACCGGAGTCAAATAGTTTGACGCTTGTTCATTACAATTTTTTAATTCATTTCAAAGTCCCCCCTCCACTCCAAAATGTTTTTCTTCTTGTTCCTACAGTGTTGTTTGAGCTGCACTGTGCAGAATGCTGTATGTGCAGTGACACCAGAAGGATGTTTTCACATTCATCTGCTGAAAGTGGAATGTTTCTCTGTGCTCACTGAAAATATATATTTTTTTTGAAGGGGCGGTGCTTATAAGCATGATTTGTGACATCATAAATAGTTAGGAAGTCAGTCCTGGTCCAGTATGCAACTTGTACAGTGTGATGTAGAAACTTGAAGCCACCAGTGCACATCCACTGAGAATGGACTTTACAGTGAAGTAGGCGACATCTTGTGTCCAGCAGCAAAACTTTAGAAATTTGCATATTCAGAGATTCTGGAATTTTTAATGAGGTAGAAGGAGGAAATTACTTTTTAAGGATTTTAATGTGGTAATGAAAGAGCGAAGGAGAAACTACAATGGCTGCAAAACCTGTGAAAAACACTACAGGCACTATCTAGAGCCAGTGTGGTTTGTCCATGGGCTACTGTAGAAATATGGCGGCCTCCATGGACCTGCTCCTTCAGTAGATAAAAACATAACTATAAAAGTTATATTAAATTTCTGCAAATAGAGTCTCCTAAATGTTACACACTGGACCTTTAAATACAAAATGTATCAGCTAAATTAATGTCCACAGCGCAGGCATCACCAATGCTGATCAGCCAGATATCGACCCGATTAATCAGCCGAACGATTAATCAGTTGACCTCACAGCTTCATTTACACATGAAAGGATATTTATACAAAGAGCCGAGTGGGGTTTTCTCACATACAGTGGACGGATTTTAATGGATTTATTAGATCCACCTGTACAACCTAGTGCAGTCCAAAGCTGTCCAACTGTCACCTGCATTGTCTATGGAGACAATGGGAACCAGGGGTGTCTTAAATCGCTTCTCCCACTTTACAACTCTATATTTCTGCTTGTATCCCTGAAGCATGAGGGAAACTGTAGTTAAACCCTAACCCTAACCCTAACTCAAAAAACAACTATCCCCAAACAAATCTCACATTTTTACAGAACTAAAGCTCAGTATATCAACGTGGTTCTTATTTCGCTGGAAAACAGACTTTCCATTCATTATTCAGTATACAGATATTTACTCTGTTCCAAACCTGTGGACAAACAACTCAAACAAAGTGAATTACATTGTGAATTGTTTATTATATAAAAACCCTGTCATAAAAGCTGTCCTTGGACGTGTAAATGCAAATTTATTGCATTTCTGAGTAGCCCGACTTATTCAGCGGGGACACCAAATGAGCCTTCACCTAGGGCGGCAAAACATCCGGGACCGTCACTGTGAAATGTTCTGCTGGTTTGTTCCACTGTACTGGTTTGTACCTCGGAGCCTCTGTGGTGTCTTTGAGAGGGTTCTCTGTGGGTCCCTCAGGAACTAAACCCTCAGAACTAAATCAGGAAGTGAAGTCAGGACTCATTAACTATTCATTAAACAAACTCAATAAACAAGATTTAAACTCGGGGACTAAACATGGCTTTTGCACATTCCTGCGTTTCCACCGCATCTAAAAAGGAACCGCGACAGTCAGGTAAAGTGAAGCGATGGAGGATTTATTAAGCATTGGTTTGGATTGAGATTAAAGAGCAGCAGCAGTTATCATGTTGTTCTTTATTTACTGTTGTTTCCTGTTGATGTCTGGTTTCCTGTTGTTGTCTGGAGGTGGAAACAGAAAATGACATAACTGCCGTGCTGTTAAAATACTTGTAAAAGTCCTCAATTTTAAAAAGAGGTTTGAAAATTGTCCATAAGGAACTTAATTCATTTTATCTGTCTATTAAACTCATTCCTCCTCCAATTTTTTTCTGTTTCCACCTGTCTTTTAGTATTTTTATTTTATTTGTGTGTGTGTGTGTGTGTGTGTGTGTGTGTGTGTGTGCACGTGCGTTCAGTAATTATCCGTCTGCTCATTGACCAGAAGTCGAGTCATTATTATAATAAGACAACAGAGAAATAAAATGAAATAAACAGCCCACAGACCTCCCCACATTAATGTCTATTGTACATTATTACACAAACAGTTGGTGATGTCATTGTGATGGAACGTGCTAATTATAGATGATGAGATTACTTAATTACACGGGCACTATGAGGAGGAAATGCACAAGTATTTCATTAGAACAGACCAAATAGGTACGTAATTCCAACACAGATGATTCAGATTGAACCAACAACTTTGGTTAGCGTGTTCTTATCATTAATGGAAATAATGACAGCAATGTATAAATAATAATAATGACACAAAAGTTTCCAGAGAACCGATAACAGCCATTTTATCTCAAATATCTGTTTTCCTGGCTGCACTCCTTTTTGGGATTAAAATTCTTTCTTCACTTTATTAAACAGAGTCATAAACTGAGACAATTATATAAACTGAATACAAACTATTACAATATTTATTACATGGAGAAGTTTTTGAAATTTGAGTACTTGAAAAGAAAACACAGGCTTATTATGGTCTGAACTCTCAATTAGCTCACACATCTTTGCTCTTGTAACCAAACATAGTGGCAGTATTTGTCATGAGTGCATGTGAGAGGGAGGAACTAGAAATGTGCTGATATATAACTATATACTGTGGAAAAACATTCTGATGAAAAAGTATTTACTGTATATTACCGGCACTGGTTATCGGTGAGCTCACAGTGAACGCAGCACAGTGCCCCTCGCCTTCATTGTTTTATTCTGATGAGCCACAACAGAGCTCCCTTTTAACAAGACTATGCTATGCTGTTCCTAGCTTGTCAACCTACTGAAGTGCAGCTAGTGTCTGGGTGTTGCTGAGTTGCAACATTAAGCAAGAGAGGGCCATGCATTTTACATGACTGACATGACAGGAAATAATATTCCTCTCGGGTCAACTTCAACTCCGGCCAGGGTACTTGTAAGTAGTAATGTGGAGATTGTGTGCAGATGGGTGAGTGTTGCTAGTGGCTTGTGAGATCCTAATATAACTGAGCAGTGGTCCTTTTACTACGATGGCCTAACATTGTCCCATTATTAATACCAAGCAGAAAACACTTACTACAAAGTTGTTGCACTCCAGTGATTGTGAGAGAACGTATGCTAAAAATACAATTCCGAGTAAAAAACCGAGTACAAGTGTTTGATAATGTGCAGGAAATGTCAGGTTCTTTAACAGCCCACTCCCCAAAAAGGAAATACATCTGAATATAATTTAAGAGAATTCGATTTCATTTCCACTCAACTGTGAAACAACCAACCTGCTTAAGTTTATGGTGTATAATTATAGTACTTGATGTTAGTTCATTTACAACACAAAAGTCCAACAAAGGGTCAACATACAGTTCACAGTTCAGTTGTTTAGGCGATCATGGTGTGAAGTAGTTTCACTATATTTACTTTCTAATAGTATTTTGGACCACAATAATCATAGTATGAAGATGGAACTTCCGTACTGAGAGCTGTTGAAGAGATAGAGAACGTGTTGGGAGGCTTATCAGAGAACACACAACTACACAACTGACAGATTTTGGGTGGAGTTTCACAACACACACACACACACCCATACACCTTTAGTGCTCGTTAGCTACACCACCACACCCACTACAGTCCAAAGGTTAGCATTCCTATCTTTAGACCTTAATGACACACACAAAGATCACACACACATACACACACACACACACTGACACTCACCTTTTCCTCTCTGTCATGTGACTGAGTGTGTATGTGGCCGTTGTGCTTTAATGAGCAAGTGTTTGACTAACGAAGACAAATACGTACGCACACACACACACTGATAACACACACACTCACACTCCACCAGACACTGTGAACACTTTGCTTTACACGTAGGATTTTATCTGTTCAGAAGGAAATCATTTGTAAAAAGGCACAAATAATACACACAGTTCTGACAGCTGATCATCTCATACTTTTTTCTGTTTTCATGGATTTATTTTTCACAGTTCTCAGTCCCTAAACTTTGCTCCTGTCAGAGTCAACCCAGGTCCAAACACATGAACTCTATAATCATGTTGAGTGAGTCAGAGGTCTGCTGTTCAGTGCTGGAGAAACAGCCGAGCTAATCTTTGTGGGCTGCACTAAAGCCGATGCTGGTGTTATCGAGCTGCGTTAAGGCTACTGCCACCGTGGCGCGTCACAGGATGCCCATCAAGCGTCAAGCGTTGCACTACAGCGCGTCAGTCTCTCAGCAGGTGGCATAGAAGTGCCATTTAACGGGATGTGACCTGAACCTATTCAACTGTGAAGGCCATTGCTTGTACTATATTAATAAAATGTTTATGACATTAGCTTAACATTATGTGTGGTCACCACTATTTAAACTCACATAAGGAGCTGATCTCCAGAGCTATGGCTCACCAGTCAGTGTCTTTTTAGCCATTGTGGGTCGTATAGCTCAGGATATTTCTTGACCTGAACAACTTATTTCTCCTCATCCATTGTTGTACGCACGAGCGATAGCAAGTCTGGCGGTTTGGTAGTTATACGTATAAACTAACAGGGTCGACTGCTTTGATGAAACAACAAATGCTCTTCTACTGAATGAGCTAAAAAAAAAAAAGAGAAACCAAATGAAAGAAGAAAGGTGAAGGTGAAGCCGAGGCTGGGTGAAGGTTGGAGGGGGAAGTTCTCCACACTGTTGACTACAATCACAGCTACAAACACACTGCTGTCTCTCCATGAAAACCGTCTCTGATCCGACAAACTGCAGGTCTGATCGGACTGTCGCGGTGTCGGACCGACTGGGTGAACAAACATCAGCGGATTCTCCTTTGCAGCCCTCCCCCCGCTGCTGGTTGACGTTTACACATCACTAGATTAAAAACAGGTTGCATCCCACAAACTGCTTCTT